ACAACAAACTTGCACATGGTTTGATTCTGTTATGGGTATTTGGTTTGATTCTATTAAAGGCTGGGTCTTTTGGATTCATTCTGTTATAGGTATTTAAATATTTGTGGCAATGACATTATACTTTTGTCCACCACATTCGTAGAATGTGGCGTATTTAAATTGTGGTTTGTGCAGTTGATTTTGTGGCCTTAATTCTTTAATAATGGCCATTGTCTTCACTAAATTTTCCGATTTGTTTGCACTAACACCTACCAGTTTCCAAATTTGTAGCAATAGAATAAACACCCATTGATTTGAGGCTATTAAAGGTTGAGTGTTTTGGCTTAATTCTCTCATACCTATTTAATTATAAATTATCACAATTGTTCTAAGTTTGTTATCAATTGTTATCTGGAGGCTTTGACTTTATAGGAGTGGCGAGCGTTGGTCTTCTTCTTAAGATTGAACTCCAGCTTTTTCTATGTTTCGGTCTCTCTCTCTCACTGATCTGTAAGTAAATTTTGCTTCATCTTTCCATTCAATTTTTGTTGCTCTTCTTTTTCATTTTTTTTTTGTTACTAATATCTTGGATCTTATTTTATTAAACTATAAGACCTGTTTTAATTTGCTGCCCTAAAAGTCCAAATTCCTAATTTTTCCTCATAGTGGATCTGTGTTATTGATTTGCAAATGTTATCCAAATACTGAAATTGATTTGATTGTGTTATTATTTTGATGAAACCAGGTGAAACAATTTAGTTATTAAAATACTATATGATTGCTTTTGGTAAGGTTTTCTGTTTGATTATTAAAAATTAGTTGGTAAACCCTCAAAATCAGTATTTGGATATGCTGGTTCTTTTGTTACAGGGTTTAGGATAGCTCTGTTTTGGTAAGCAGGATATGCTGCTATTTGGGTAGTTATGTTTAAAGACATGTTCGTTCTTTTACTACAGGGTTTTAATTCAAATTCGTTCTTATACTGGTTTATGGGACTGGGGATTTGAATTTGATAATTTTTGTTTTGGTAGGGGAAAGAAAATTTGGGAGTGTGATTCTAGGAACTGATTGCAATGTTTTAGCATAGTTGACTTGAAGAAGATTGGTTTAGGAAATATGTGGGATTTGAAAATCTGACTTCTAAATTGGAATTCTGTTTGTGGACATTAGAGATGACGAGAAAGAATTCAGAAAAGTTAAAATTCATAGGTTTTTTTGTTTGTGGGTTTGATTTACCAAGCGGATTTTTGTTGATTTTTGCATTGAATGGAGACTTATTGAAAACTAAAAAAGTTTGTATATCCTAATTTCAGAATGCAGAGTTTGGTTATATTGTTTTTTTTCCTTTTCATGGGCTAATAATTTGGCCATGCTTCTACTCTTTGCAGCTGCTAGGGACTGGAATGGATACGCAAGATACATCTCCTTCAGTGTTGCTATTCTTTGACAAGCAAAGATTTATATTTAATGTTGGAGAGGTAAGGAACTCAATTACATACATTTTCCCTGTGGTTTCTTTCCATACAGATTTTGCTCAAGCTAATTTTTTGGTTTAATGAAAAGATTGTGCATGCATAAAATACTCAAGCTAATTTCTTCCCCGATTTTTCTGTTTTTTCTTTTTCTTCTTTTTAAAAAAATCATGTTTTCTTTTGATATTTTGCAGGTGGTCTTTCTTTGCTTTGGATAGAGCAGTTTGGTTGGTGTTTTCAGTTCTGTTAAGCAAGGGGTGAGTTTCTAGGCTGAAATTTCAATTAATTGTTTTAAGTTTTGTGAATAGAGCATAGGAATTAGCTAATGGCATCAATTGACAATTGGTTGGTGTTAATTTGTTGTTGTAATGATAGGTTTAGATGATTACAATATTTGAACATGTTGGTAAATCCTTTGAGTGTTTTGGCAATTGGGTAGTTGAGATGTTCCCTGCCTATTTTCATTGCTTTATACACATTTCACGCAATTTTAAAACCCGCAGCATCGCGCGGGCACCTTTTGCTAGTATGTACTATACCTATTAGATAGGTATATCAATTTCAATGGTCAATAGGGTATTGTACCTGAAGCATAGGTTATCAAATTTAAGAATAATATTAATAGTTCATGAAGAAATAAACGAGTACAATGAGATGGGGAAAAAAACAACATGTGAATTATTAATCCCTTTCGCAAAGTTATAAAACAAAAAAATAGTACAACTTGGCAAGTGGTGAGAAACAATTGAAAATTTTAATCATTATTATCTTTAGGTACATAGAGTGGAAAAAAAAACACATTATACTACAAAAAGCTACACAACAATGAAATTAAAACCTAAAACAAACATAAAAAATGGGAAAGAAAACAATAATAGCATATGAGTGGGCAATTGTATTATGAACGAATAATAAAAGGAGTACACAATAAAATAAGTGGCAATGGATTAACATATTTATGCACAATATGTGCATTAATAAAATCCACGTTAAATAGGAATTTGTACAAATCAAGCATGTTTAGACATTTACATTCAAAATGTAATTATTCCTTTAATTACATGATCAAATATGATCATTAATGGCCTATAAATCCTCATCTTACCCGTTTTATACAATAGGGATATAATAGGAACAAAAAATTTAAATACAAATCAGTTAAATACAAAAGATTGAGTCAGTATGTCAAAAATGGAATGTAATCTACATAGCAAACTAGTCAAAGGACTTGTATCAACAAACAATTATTCAAAAACTAGACCCAACTATTAGTTGGATTTTTGGACCTCTATCAACTTTTCTATTATTTTTCAGCCATCAATATAGTTCTTAAGTCTCGTGAAGAATCGTTCAGCTTTGGAAATTTCCAAGCTCCCTACCGAAGCATCACATCTTTCTCAGTGTATTAAAAACACTTCCAATAACAGTTTTTACTGTCTTTGCAAAAGTGGCCCTAATAGACATTATCTAATAATGAAAACAAAGGCATCTGTAGAAGATTTGTTTGACGAGCAAACAAAAACGATGTAATGTTAAGTAACCTAGTAAGAGCATCCACAATGCAGGGGTGTATATGGGGATGTATGTTAAATATACACCTCGAGTCACAGGAATCGTCTCCAATGGGGAGATGTAAATGGATGTAAATATACATAACCACCATGAGGATGTAAAATAAAATGTATATTTACATCTTTTGCACGTGGGACCCACCCGAGAAAAGAAGAGGAAAAGTTAAGAAAAGTCATCATAAAAGAGTGGGACCCGCTGCTACAGTAATCGCTGGAAAAAAATTCAAATGTGGAGAAATTTTGGGGATTTTTGGATGAAATCGTATCTTCTCCGAATTTAAATATTTTTAGGTCTATTTGTTTGAAAAAATAAAATGAACCTAATACAAAAAAAAAAAAAAAAAAATTTGATAAAGTAAACACAAAATACAAATTTAGCACAAAAACGAATTAAGACAAACAAATCAATTATACATCTTTAGATTTACATCGTTTCTCATTGGAACAAAAAACGTATTTTCACCCCCCGGAGATGTAAAGTGGATGTAAAAGTGGCTTTACACCCCCGAAAATACACCCTCCCACTGTTGATGCTCTAAGAGGAGATCAGAATTTCACATTTCCGATGTCTTGCACATGATAGGAATAAAACATCATTGTGGACTAGTGAAGAATTATGTGTAGGCAGCGGCGAACCCAGGAATGTTCCAGCAGAGGTGCAATTTTCAAAAGCTAAGAGCTCAAAAAAAAAACAAAACAAAACAAATCAAAACAAAAGACAACTAAACATCCTTATAATTTAAACAATACTAATATTATTCATAATAAATTCTTTCTCTCAAGGTACCGTTCCATAACTGTACAATTAAAACAAAATAAGGGTTTTATATCTATATGTATAACTAATTGATTATAATTTATCAATTAAATAAACAAATCAATATCAAATTATCAATTAAATAAATAAATAAAAATTAATTATACATCGAATAGCATGTCAAGTAGCCTCTTCCTCCTTGAGTTTGCTACTGATCTTACTAATACAAAGAGAGCTAAATAAGAAAAAAAAAATTATTATTAAAAAAAAAAAAGAATAAACAAAATTGGTGTTTGCTCAAGAAGAAAAAAAATGCATTCAACTTACTTTGGATTGGCGTACTCAAGAAGAAGAAAAAAAAAAGTGTAATTCTTGTACAAATTTGCAAACTCAATTGAATAAAGATAACTCCCACTTAAAACCTAATTAAATGAGGAATTATAGAAATTGGAAACCCAATTGAGTAAGGAATAATACAAATTCAAAAGCCCAATAGAATGGCCCAGCATCAGCAGCAATTTCTTTAATTTTTTTTTAACCCTGGTCCAAAGCGACGTCGTTTTGGCCAGGTTTAAAAAAAAACAACAAAAAAAAAAACAACAGCGCCTTTTTTAAAAGCCTAGTCCAAAACGACGTCGTTTTGGCCAGGGGATGTTTAAAAAAAAAAAAAAACAAGCACATGCGCTAATGCAGCGCCCAGCCCAGGTGGTTTGGGCATTTCGTCGAACACATTGCGTGCATCACTTTTCTGAAGCAGAGGTGCAACTCCAACTGCTCTAATGGACTTTTTTGACGACCGGAGGTGCGGGTGCACCTCCTTGCGCCTGCACAGGTCTACCACTGTGTGTAGGAGGAGTAGCCAAAACATCTCCTGATGGATAAGCCTCTTCTAGCTGGCAATGACTCGGGTTTATCCTCAAATTTATTGTGAGGAAAGTGCCTATGTAAGGCATTCACTGCTCCTGTCACCCCATCTTCGCCATCCATGGCCTTGGCAATTTCAACAACACGCTCTTTAACCTTTCAACCGAAATAGTTATTTCTTTGTTAATTTAATCTATTCAGGTCCACGCAAGGGATTGAAATAACAGAAAATAACTCGAAAGTTGTGACAAGTATTTGCATGTTGAAATTGATTACAAAACAATATCAACTTCAATTAAATCAGCGCGTATGCATGTGGGATAAGTTTACACTCAAGAAATGGCAAATTATATGTAAATCACTTGGAAGTTTAAAAAGAAAATGGTAAATATATTTGGATCTAACATGAAGCGTATGGCATCGACCAACTTTTCAAGCGAGAATTCATCAGCTGGAATGGGTGCAGGACCTACTCCTCTGGCATGCACCCTCTCCCCCCAAAATGGCTGGTCCCCAAAGAATGGTACAATTGTGGTTGGACACTAAAAAGAACAGAGAATATGAGCCCAAAATGAGTAACTGGATCATTTACAAATGTAGGACTCCCCAAGAATATAGCATTTTCAGTTACCGCAGCTTTCAAACCAGCAGCAGTTGTCCCAGCAACCCCATGATGCACCTAAGAAATTTTTTCAAATCCAGTGAGAAACTAGGAGTAGCCTAGTTATCCAATAGGGAACAAAACAACAAAAAGGTGCATCAAGTTCGTGTGACGTTCTGAACACCAGTGTAGTGAAATCGCAACCAAATTAAAAAGAATTAAAAGCATTGATATTTACCACAGCAAAGCATCGTTGGAATAGCCAATCATGGGGGCAATTGTCCACTAAATACACAGAATCACTTGGTTCTGCCACTAAGAAGAGAAATATATGAAGGCTTTCAGATGTAAAGAAGCATAAGAATACAATGTGCTTGAAAGTAATCTTTTTTTAAGAATCAAGACTTACAATTACCAAGGCCACCCCAGCCTCGGTTGATGACGACTCTCTGTCTAGTTATTTCCAGAGCTTGAAGGATAATATTGGTCATTTTCTCTGGTTCTTCAAGA